CACCCCTACGGACCCTTAGTCTACCAGGTCGGGCTCTGCTGGGCCCGTGTGGTACGGAGTATGCCACAGTATACGAGCAGTTGTCTTCAAGCTCCTGATAAGCGAAGTGGATCTTGTATTCACGCTGGAGTCTGCCTCTTTGACTTGACCTATAGAAGTCTTCCTCTACAATTCTGTCAATGTCGTATCTGCCATCCATGTCGGGTGGAATCGTAAATTTGTGTGAGGGAAACCGATCGTTTACTCCACAAGGTAGTAACTTAGAAGCATGAAAGGTCGGGTATTGTACCACTCGCCACACACCCTCCACCAACACCCTACTGAGCGCAATCCTGAAGATGGAGTTTCTCCATGAAACCTGACGTCAGAAGCTCTCAGATAGTGATGGCTGCCTCGGTCCATCATCTCGCCACTGTCTGGGTCTGATCCGCTCCGATACCAACTGTTATGAACATGATTGTCTGCTGAAATTTTATCAACACTCACTCACAGGAACTCCCACACTTTTCATGCATGTAAACAGTAGCGCAACAAACTTGCGACATGCGCCCACTCAATACTCAGAGATATGGCATCCAGATACGAGTTCACTTTCAATTGGCTATGGCGACTCAGCGCCCAAACAACTCACTGTTCACATACACCGGATCACCCTGGATATCCCACACGCCACTCTCTGAACTCACACACACATACACACTCGCTACACACTAACTCTAGCTATGGCGGCTATGTCCGCTTCTACCCTATCGCTATGCTACGCTCCTTCTCTCTCGCCCACTTCAGCTCCGGGCTCACTGCAGACCTCCTTGCACAAGTCGCTGTGGCAGCGCTTCCGCATGGCTCACGCAGGAATCCATGAATGGCTGGGCGCTGCCCCTTGATTTATACTTCTGAAACTGGTTGGTCTGCCCTCTTCCATCGGCCCCTGGTGCTCACAGTCCCTCGTGGTACTTGCTGGACCGGACTGGGACTGACTGGACCTTACCGCTGACTGAATGGGGACTCACCGCTAACCTACCGAAGTCGTACTGCAATTGCACCGCAGTTTAGTCCACCACTTGACTCACCACTTGCCCACTTGCCCACTTGCTGACCTTCTAGAAGGACTACAGCTAAGACTTCTGGAACTCGCTAAGACTCCTATTCTACAGGTCTACAGATCGAACCCCTGCTACCTACGGACCTATGACAGCCTACCAACTGTTTACGAATACACAGGTCACAGGTTCAACTCTCGGGGTCTACACAGGTACTGTACACAGGTAGGGCGAGGTCTAGGGATCGAGCCCTGGGATCTGCATCTGCTACTGTAAAGAGGTGAAAACCGTTTCAAAATCTCCACACATGAGGAAAGGACCAAAAAAGCAAAAGTGAGACACCAAACACAAGAAAAAAGGATAGAAGCAGAACGCAGAGCTAAGAAATGAACACCCAAAAGAAACGAAGCAGCAATGGCTCAGAAGCAGAAAGAAAAATTTGTGCTCGATCCAACCGGGAAGCGGGTCTATCATGCGAGACCCACTGTTTCTTGATAGAGTATAGGGATAGAGAAGAGGAGCCCAACACTCTGCTTCATCAATACCCTGGGGCCTGGACCCTAGGAACAGATCCTAATGTGATGAAAAGCAGATCAATCCTTTAAGAGCTTAAATCCAACCACCCAACCCAGAAGTGAATGCCAGGGAGTGACCAGCTTTCGTTTCAAATGTGGTGCCTGGATTTGGTTGGTTGCAGGGGGACGTGGAAGACATTGAACGAACAAAAGGTCATACAGAGATTATTGTGGATGAGGGGATCAATACAGTAGGTTCCGTATCCTGAGGAAAACCTGTGACACTGTGAGTGATTGGCTTAGTTTGCTACTTGAAGGATTAGCTGCTGGCTTATCAAACCAGTCTCTCAAAGTTTTGAGGCAGTCAAACACCACCATCCACCCTAAAACTGGCCCCATCCACCGATAGCTTTCAAGACACAGTTGCATTTCAACCTTGAAACGGGGATGGAATGCCCGCACCAAAAGCCTGCCCCTAAATAATAGGAATATGCCCTCAGATGGTTCTTGAAAGGATTTCATGCTGCACAAGTCCCAAGTCTCAAGTCCCGGTCCCGGAGTCTCAGTTGGGCCCAGTCCCATATGGTCCCAGTAGCTCGAGTCCCAGGGTCGGTAGAGTCCCATAGGGGTCTGTAGGCCGAAACATCGCAGTCTGGTAGAGTCGGGTACCGAAGCGTCGCAAGTCGGTAATTGTCTCCAGGTACCGACAAGGAAAGTCAAGTCCCAAAATCCAATTTTGCGGCAGCATCCCAGACAGTCTGGAGACTTCTGGAACAACAAAAAACATGCAGCAAGCAGGCTGCGGGTGACTGGTACCGGTCAGAAGCAGGCACATCAAGTCAGTGGCTTCTATTTATAGCTGGTACAGTGCCAAGGCCACACTAGTTGTTCATTCACGAGTTGAGGAAGCGCTGTTGGTTGCTTGTGCGATGGTGCGAATCGGACAAAGGGCGGCGCTGAGAGAGAAGCAGGCGCCCAATGAGGGAGGAGACTACCATAGCTAGGTCTAGCAGGGGGGAAGAAGGCAGCCATAGCCGCAGAGGTCAAGGGGGATACATCGCGGGTGTATTCAGGGTAGATCTATGGTGTAGTAGAGAGGTACAGTGCAGCAAGATCAGAGCGATACAAGCCAAGAGAGAAGAGAGAAAGGAGAGAAATAGAGTCACACCAAGGGGGGGAAGAGAGCAGTTACTTACCGGAGTGGTTGGCGGGTGTTGATGCGGCTTGTGCCACCAGGCTACACAAATTATTTGTACAATAATAATAATTGTTCGGGTTTTCTGGTACGCTGCTTGGCTTCAAGTATGAAGTTTCACGTGAATGATCTGCTTGTGTCTGTCTGAGTTTGGGCGTGGAATTGTGTGAGGGTCATTGCATTGTGTGAGGGTCCAGTGTCCCATGTACGGCAACTTCAATCAAAAAAGAAAATCGCAGCTGGACTAACAAATTCCAAAATCAGAAATAAAAGAGGCAACCTCTAAGCAAATTAACCAGTTATTCAACTTATTCTGCTATTCTGACTGGGAGCCTTACCCAGCTTCGCTTAAAGATATTACAGAAAAGAGGACCGTTCTAGGACTACCTCCAATGAAGAGATATAGCCTAATGTGACTAGCCAAGAAACCACAAATACCTAATGATCTAAAGCAAACTACAGAGTTCTATCTGGAGCAGGTGATTTGCAGAAATCCGAAGGAAGATCCATCAAAACCAATAGAGAGGCCCGTCGGACCAGCTAATAGCCGTGTGGAGCCGGGGTTGTCATGACGAGGTTTCCCACCTTGTACCCTTGAGACTCTGTAGGGAGTACCATATTCCAGGTACTCTAGATCTCAATGGGTACAACCCAGATTTGCTCTTTTATCAGCTAAATGCTAATCGGCCGTGCCCTAAGTAGCTCAGCAACGCTGCCACAACCACTAGTAGGTCTCCCACTACCTCCAGTCGTTCCGTTGCCTGCTACGGACAAGCCCAGTATAGATACCAAAGGAGAAGAACGAACACCGACAATCTAAGTTTACACCGAAATGAAGCCAAGCAACAGAAAGGAACACCAACAATCGAAATTCACACCGTAGTGAGGCCAAGCCACAGAAAGAGCACCAACACTCTAAGTTCACACTGTAGTGAAGCCAAGCAAGAAAAAGAGCACCAACACTCTTAAGTTCGGAAACGAGAAGAGCAGCCAAGATTAGGTTCGAAGTCCCAGAGAGTGGCACAGATGGCTTAAAGCAGGGAAGATAATTCCACATTCAACGGAACAAGGAAACGACTCAGATAAGGAGGAGCCGGTATACCTAAAGCAGGGGAGGGAAGATAAAGTGAATGTCTCTACGTGTCATCGTGACCTCTGGTCGAGACTAATGCTCTGCTCCCTTTGCACTACTGGAAACGCTCCCACGGCCACCAGTGAAACTCCCACTTCCCAAAGGTGACATCGTCCTGAAGAGCTTCAGGTCTTCTCATACTTCGAGTCTTCACGCTCCCGGTTGAGGTAGTCGCTAGTACTTGGCTTGTGCTCCTCACAACAACAGTCCCACCACTGCCAGTTGCCCTCCCACTGCTCCCGGAAGTGCCGCTGTCTGACTCACCATTCGCCGTGCACTGGACTCACTCTCCCTTCTTCGTGCCGTTGGTCATGTATGTTTCCCAAAAACGGGGTTCATACAGAGGTTGCAATTGCCTGAAATTTGAGTGTTGAAGGTTGTAGAGGGATCCGGAACATTTGGGTTCAGACTCAACATCGGGATTCAGACCTTTGGCGAGGGATTATTTGGGACTGTATCGAAGACTTGGTGTTGACGACATTTCCATCTTCCCCCTCCCCTTCGTCTAATCCCCCTCTTCTTCGTCTGTGTATGATCGGGGACTGACGCATTCTTCCTGTGTGCGTGTCAGCCCCCTTCACACCATGGAATGATGATGATGCATGTTTGGTCTGCATGGCAGCTTGATTGATCGGATCATTGGTATTCAAGCCTTCCGTTGTGCTATCTTGTATCTGGCGAGAAAGGGCGGTTCTTCGTCTGGTCTGCACCTTTACGGTATGCAACAGTTTGGTATCGGAGCGGACCTTTTTCATCAAGATCCGCCCAATCAAGTAGTCAGCTTGCTTGATCTACTGATTGATTGATTGATTGATTGATCGATTGATTAGTAAATCAAGTAGGGTTTTGTCAAATCTTTTTTTTCTTTTTCTTTTTCTTTCACAACTTCGGATATTAGCATTTCGTTTTATCTGAAAATTTCTGATATTCGCACTCCGTTTTTCACGCAACAAAGATCCGAAAATTTCTGATAATAACATTTCGTTTTATCTGAAAAGTTCCGATATTTGCACTTCGTTTTTTTTTACGTAGCAAATGTCCGAAAATTTCTGATAGTAGCATTTCGTTTTTCTGACATTAGTATCCGAAAATTTCTGACGTGAGCATCTCGTTTTCTAGGCATATTAGGGTTACGACGGTGGTTGTCACATTCAGGGAAACGGAATTTATTCTTTTCTGAAAATCGAATCCCCTTTCTATTTCGCAAAAAGTTGGTCTCTGAAAACCGAAATTTTAGCGAAGCCTATCAGCATTTCATTTTTTAGGCATAGTAGGAGGTTGTCACATTCTCGGAACTGAATTTATTCCTTTGCTGAAAGTCGAACCTTTACCCTACCTTGCCTGGATCTCACTCATAGCATTGTCCGAAGAATGCCTCACTGATAACAGATCGACAGATATACAAAAAAAAAAAAAAAAGGGGTGATCCTCTTCTTTTATTTTTTTATTTTTTTAATTATTCTGTTGATTAGGACTGGCATGGAAATTGCAGTTTGGTTGTTTGCCTGCGTTTCCCTCCCACCCAGCCCCCTGTCTGTTTTCTCGGCTTGGTAAGTGCCACGTCAGCAGGCCACGACAGTTGCAGTGCCATGTCAGCAGGCCACGTCAGTTGCAGTGCCACGTCAACAGGTCACGACAGTGCAGTATCACGTCAGCAGCAGGGCCACGTCAGCAGTACCTCGTCACTGACACCGTACAGCTAACTGCAGCTTATGCACCGACGCAGCAATCGAATTGCGGCACGGGAAGGGCGGGCAGCCGCAGCAGAACAGCACCTACCTCCGCCCCACCCCTCTGAAATGGACACTCAGGGCAACCCCACAGTGGACAATGCCGCATCCAGCAGTCCACACGAGGCATGCAGCTGGAACCCCCCGGCCCCACAGGCCCAACAGGAGGGTTCCACTGCGACTTCTGCGGGAACCCTCGATGCTGCACCAGTCCGGCGGGAGAGACCATGACGGCCTTCCTGGCCCACTTGGGCACCTATACGCAGGCAAGTCCAAGAGGAGCAGCAATGCGAGGCGGCAGCCGAAGCAGCACGCCTTAATATCATTGCACACGCAGAAGAGCAACGACGCCGGCAGCAAGCTGACGCAGCTGCCAACCACAACAAAGCTCAAAGAGATGCCGCGTCTGTCCTCATGCAGCAGGAAGCCGCTCATACCGCCGCCCTCCAAGCATGGCATGTTGATCCGGCGGAAACAACGGAACCAGCTACGGAGGACCAGACTAAGTCAGCTCTCGCCAGCATGATGCACCAAGTCATCCTCACTTGTAACTGGCAACAAGTGGAGCTGGCCCGGCAGGCACGTACCATTACTGAGTATGAGGAGACTCTCAAGAGCCTCCACGCCCGCCTTGACATGCTGGAGAAGGATGACATCGATCCGCGAGCTGGAAGGACGGCTGGATCACCTAGTCGCGATGATCTGCAACTTGAACAGTTTCCGACACCCGACGACCATCAGCAACAAATAGCCGCCCTACAAGCGGACCTGCGTCAACTGCAGCAGCAACCAACTGGGACCTGCAACAATGTGACGCCGAAACAATTCAAGATGCTGAAGTTCAGCATCGACAAGTTTGATGACTATCACAAAGCGGACCCCATCGGTTGGTGGCAAGGGTTCACCAATGAGCTCTCCATCCACTTGGTCCCGCCAGAGTCGAAGATCTCAGCACTCTACCTCTGCAGCACCGGTGCCAGCCAAGTGTGGCTCAACCACCTGGCTCAAACCGAGGGCGTCGAAGTCTCTAAGCTTCACACCAAGATCACTTGGGAGGCCATGACTGAGAAGTGGCGGAAACGCTTCATCATCGACGACGCTCAGGGCAAAGGCGTGAGTCGGATCTTCAGCATGCATCAAGGCAGCCAGCCAACACGCGAATGGCTAACCGAGTGGCAGAAAATCGTGACGATTCCGAATTTGGACATCCCATTCGTACATCTTCGTCGCGAATTCTCCAGCGGTCAGTGGACGTGTTGAGCACGGCCCTTGGGGAGCGCAGCCTATACACGAACTTCGACCAGATCGTGGAGAAGGCGTGCGAAGTCATCCAAACCAATCGGTGGGCAGCCAACGAGCGGCGAAGTCAATTGACTTTTGTGGAAAAGGGCAAAGGCCCACAGCCGCAGCAAGTCGTTGCTGTCCAAAGAAATGGACAAGAGAACGACCAGGCAACGACTCACGAGTCTAGTGAAGGAGACGGAGTCAACGCCCTTCCGCCACGACACAACAACAGCAACAAGAAGAAGAAGGCGAAATCTGCGTCAACAACGGAAGTCGGACAACCGAATGAGCCGTGGAAGAAGTTCAACCTCACGGAGGAGCAATAGAAACTCCGCCAGAGGTGGAGCTGTTGCTACTGGTGCAACAACACCACGCATACGACGCCGCAATGCCTTGATAAAGGCAAAGAAGACGTCCGTCCACGGCAAAGCTCGGGAAACTGAGCTTCGCGGGAAGTGAGGCGACTCCACTTCCTACTCGACCGGACACGGTTGCCTTGCTAACAACCTCCTCCACGTCCGGGGAACATGCGTATGTCGCCAGTCTTCGCGAAGATTATGAAGACTATGTTGTCCAACTGGTCCCGCCGTTGGACCAACCTCTCTACGTGCAAGACTCATTTGCGTGTGCGACTTCATCACCATCGCCAAGCGAACCAGCATCCTCGCCAACATTACTCGGGGACTCGTCGGTGTGGTCTAGACTTGAGGAACTCGACCCATTGACAGCGGAGGACTTCCAATGGTTACCTCTTCCCCCATCTGGTTCCTTGCCGAAGCCGCATTGCAACGCCCTAATGGCGGAGCTACGCAACTACTTGCACGCTGCAGTACCAGCTCGATTGATGGAAGACGGAGTAGCGGTTGTTGACCTTCGCGAGTACATTGCGAAGATTGACCGCGAGTACGCCACGCAACGGTATGACGACACCGACGCACCGTTACTCGACGTCCGCATTCAAATCGGGAAGGCGACCTGCAGTGCCTTGATTGATTGTGGAGCTACTCGCAACTACATCAGCCAGGATTTCATGACCCGCGCCGAACTTGGGCCGCGCGTTTGAAGGAAATCGCAGCCCACGCAAGCCACGTTGGCCGACGGTCGTACACACAAGTCCATTGACCGGTGCATTGACTCCGTCCCCGTGTACTTCGCCCCACTTGCACGTGAGGCCGTGTCCTTTGACATATTGGACACAAAGTTCGACATGATTTTGGGCATGTCATGGCTGCGTAGCGAGGACCACCCGGTGAACTTCTACCGCCGCACCGTTCACGTTCGTGACCGGAACGGGCTACTTGTGCCATGTACGGTCCCCCCACCTCATCCTTCGATTGGGTGTCATGTGGTCTCCGCGGCAAGCATTCCCAACTCCATCGCACGGAACGATGTGGAGGAAATGGGCATTTGTTTCTTGCACGCCCTCCCTCCTCCCGACGAGCCAGCGGCGGAACAGCCACCGGATCCACGCATTGTACAGCTTCTTGAATCCTATGGCGATGTCTTTGAAGCCCCCGCCGGAATCGTACCGAATCGGCCAATTCGTCACGAGATCATCCTCGAAGACGGGGCTGTACCCCTGCGCGGATGTATTTACCGCATGAGCTCGAAGTGCTTCGAACGCAACTCGACGACCTCATTGACAAGGGCTGGATTCACCCTAGCTGCTCGCCCTACGATGCACCTGTTCTCTTCGTTTGGAAGAAGAACAAGGAGCTGCGCTTATGCATTGACTATCGCAAGCTTAATGCTCAAACCATTAAGAATGCCGACCCGCTTCCACGCATCGACGATCTTCTCGAACGTTTGGGCGGCGCCAAGTATTTCTCCAAGTTGGACCTCAAATCCGGTTACCACCAGCTCGAGATCCATCCAAGAGATAGGTACAAAACCGCGTTCAAGACACGGTACGAGCACTTCGAGTGGGTCGTAATGCCATTCGGCCTCACGAATGACCCGACCACCTTCCAAACGGCAATGACAACGGAGTTTCGCGACATGTTGGACCGGTTCGTGCTCATCTACCTCGATGACATCCTGGTGTATAGCTGAACTTTGGACGAACACATCGTGCATCTACGTGTTGTTTTGGACAGGCTTCGTACGGCCAAGTACAAGGCCAACCGAGCCAAGTGCGAATTCGCACAGCAAGAGCTCGAGTACTTGGGCCACTTTGTGATGCCGCAAGGCATCAGTCCGCTTGCGGACAAGATCAAGGCCATTCAGGATTGGCCGGAATCGACCAACACCACGAAGGTTCGCTCTTTCATGGGATTGGCAGGGTACTACCAATGCTTCATCGGAGGATATGCACCGATCGCCGCACCTTTGTCCAGATTGCAATCTCCACAGGTGCCCTTTCAGTTCACCGACGAAGGCCGCAGTTCGTTCTACAAATTGAAGATGACGTTGCTCCTCGCTCCCGTCTGAGTATCTACGATCCCACCTTGCCTACGAGAGTGACTACGGACGCTTCCGGCTACGGCATGGGTGCAGTTTTGGAACAACACGACGGAGTAGATAGGCATCCGGTTGAGTACTTCAGCCAAAAGGTGTCTCCCATCAACTCGGTTGATGATGCGCGGAAGAAGGAGTTGCTCGCGTTTGTCACGGTACTCAAGCGTTGGCGACACTTCCTCCTCGGGCGTCGTAGGTTCACTTGGGTGACGGATAATAACCCATTGACCTACTACAAGACGCAAGACACGGTGAGCAGCACGATTGCTCAGTGGATGTACTTCATCGATCAGTTCGACTTCACACCGAAACATATCCCGGGCCTCTCCAACCGAGCCGTGGATGCTCTCTCGCGAAGATCAGATCTTTGCGCAGTGACTCACCACGCGTTCAGTTTCGACGAAGCCCTTCATCAGCATTTTGTGCGAGCATACAAGTCCGATCCGGAATACGGCACGCTCTACGAGCAACTATCCTCGGATCACCCGCCGACCAGCCACTATCGCATCGTCGATGGCTACCTGCTGCTTCACTCATGAGGCAAGGACTTACTATGCGTCCCACACGATCGTCGCTTACGGACTCGTCTCCTCGGCGAGTACCACGACTCGAGACTTGCCGGCCACCTCGGAGTCAACCGTACGATCGCAAGACTTCGGCAGCGATTCCAGTGGTCTGACCTCATTACCGACGTCACTCGGTATTGCGACTCTTGCGAAGTTTGTCGACAAAGCAAACCCCGAAATCGCAACCCCTACAGTGAGTTACGCCCGTTGCCTATTCCACGGGAACCCAGCCTCTCCATTGCCATGGACGTCACTGGGCCGTTCCTGCGGGACCGCTTCGGGCACGACGACATTCTCACGGTCGTTGACCGTTTGAGCAAGTACGCACGATTTCTTCCTTGCAAGTACCACGCCACGGCTCCGGAACTCGCACGCCTCTTACACACCGGCTGGATTTGCGGGCATAGCATTCCGGAAGACATCGTCAGCGATCGCGACACTCGTTTCATGTCGGCATTTTGGACCTCTCTCATGAAAGAGTCCGACACCGAGATGAAACCAAGTTCGGCTCGGCATTCGCAAACGGACGGGCAGACGGAGCGGGCACATCAAACCGCTCAATAATGCTTCGCACACTCATCCGTACGGATCGGAAGGATTGGGTGGACCGCCTCCCCGACATCGAATTCTCCTATAACACTTCGGTGCACCCGGCGATCGGCGTGACTCCATTCGAGTTACACCACGGTGGCCGGAAGGGCCGCATATTCACTGATCTTCCTTTTCCAAGGACTGCCGACATTGACGCCGCTTGTTCGCCCGCCTTCGTTCGGAAGTATAGGGACTTGCTGGCTAAAGCCCGCGCCAACATGCAAAAGGCTCAAGTCCGCATGCAACAGCAAGCTAACAGGCGTCGGGTGACATGCCCCATCCGTGCCGGCGACCTTGTTTGGGTCTCCACTGAAGAGTTTGCACTCGAGCAGGATGTATCCCGCAAGCTACTTCCAAAGTGGTTTGGACCATGGCCCGTCACATCAGCCGCAGGTGATGAGCCCGATGGCCCTTCATTGGTGATCGAAATCCCGCCGCACCTCACAGTGCACCCGGTTTTCCACGCCTCCAAGCTGGCCACATATACACCAGCCAGGAGCGACGACTTCTCGGGACGACGATCACAGGACCCTCCTTCCATGGATGGTCATCAGGACGTCGACCGCGTCATCACGCACCGCAAGCACGGCAACAAGCCTATGCAGTACAAAGTCACATTCAAGTGGTGCGACCCCGATGACACGCGACGGATTTCCCGGGCAGCTTTGCGAGCCTCCACTCCTGACATCTATGCTCATTATGAGAAGAAACGGCTAGCGACGGAAGCTGCACAACCTCCCACCCGGACTTCAGTCCCTCCCTCCACCAGACAGCTTCACCCTCGCAGGTAAGCTCGGTCTTTCAAGGAGGGGGGAGTGTGGCATACTCCGTACCACACGGGCCCAGCAGAGCCCGACCTGGTAGACTAAGGGTCCGTAGGGGTAGGGCCTGTTTCAGGCCCTGTGTCGTTTCGGCCTCCAGCCTGAAAACAACGGGCCATTTTCAGGCCCTCGCAAGATCGACCTACCCTGAAACTCAGGCACCAGACCGGGGTTTTAGCTCAGGCCTTTAAGGCCTATTTTGTGGAGCGTCAACTCCAGGGGCTGGCACATTTTGGCATGGGCACGAGCAGCCTCTCGGACAGCCAGCACTATATAATGCTGACCCGCCCTGTAGGCTGCAGGCAGTTCCCAGGCACTTCATGTGCAGAGGGCAGGAGGTAGTCTTCAGGACTCAGCAGCGGCACTCTGGGGCAGTAGTAGCGATAGCAGTTGTCTTCAGCGCTGGGCGCTAGTAGGAGAGAGAGAGAGAGATGGTTGGTAGAGGCCAGGGATACTCACCTGCGGCGCCATAGCTCCAGCTTCGTCTTCGAGGTACCTGCAGGAAAGCGCCACCTTCACAGGTTAGTATCGGACACACA